TCCCAGCCTACTCCATTTTCATTTAACTTTGGTCGCAGGCACTGTTGAAGTAATTGAACCTGACTATCCGACTGAACATAATTCCGAACTGGAGGACAGCGATGAGGCCAGTCAGCTTATCGAGAAGGCATCTGAAAAACATCCGCTTTCTCTTGAAACATGCCCTGGAAAGCTGGACAAAGACCTGGATGATTGCGGTGATTTCGAAAAGGAGCAAATCTGTTTAACAGAGAGTGAACACAAGAGGAGCTGGCCAGCATTACGGACTGATTCAGACTTATGCCGCCGTAAAGAGGACCCTGATTCACCGGTGAGAGAAGAGGAATGGGTTAGGGGACAGAGTGATCGACCTTCGATTGGAAGTGGTGGTGGAAGGTCACGCGCCAGTAAACGTACAAGACCTAGCCGGAGTCTACAAGGTTTGAGCTTCTCCTCCTCCTCTTCTCCCTTCTCCTCTGCTTCTGCCTCGCCCTCTTCTTCACCACGAAATTCTGCCATAAATGATTTCGAAACCGATGATTTTCCAGATAGGCATTACGATAGACGAGTACGTGAAGACACTAATTCTTCTCATGATCATGGTCGTATTTTTCCAAACCGTCATTGCACTAGCGATAGACGACGAAGGCCTCTTCCTTTGGAGGGAAACAGCTTTGGTGGACAGGATTCATTAACAAGAACTGCTGTCTTGTGTGCTGTAGATAGAGGGGAGGGGAAAGAGAGAGTTGAGGAGACTGAGAAAGAATCACTCGGACTGACCGGCTTAACATCTTCAAGTGAGCGTTCACAACACAAGATTATGATGCGTGTCTTTAAAGCGATAAAAATCACCTGGATGCAAGGTCAAGTTCATCTTGAGGTTGGTTGTAGTTTATCTTAATCCTATCTTGAGCTAACTTGTTGTTCAATGCCTTAAAAACGCTTTTTTCCTTCAACCTCTTAACTTGTAGTTTACTTCGTGTAGTTTACTTATTAAATCATCCCAGGTTTCCTTTAACAAGTTGGTTAACAAACAGATATACGATCCGAACCAATCCATCTATTTGAATAACTTAGCTACACTATTGATGCTAACCTGGCTCCGACAAAATTTACCACCCTATTTTAGTTTTCAATTCTTTAGTCATTATTATGAAGCCATAATGCCCACATTCCGTTCATTTTCTGGTAATAAGCTCTATGATTAGGCGCTTAGATCTGAATGACTTGCTTTATAGACTTAAGATAGGTAGTTTCATTGATAAAGGCTAACCTTTGTACCCTTTTTGTGTAAACTCTATACATCCATGCTCTTTATCCTATGTGTTTGCCATCCGTCGAAGTTTCAATGGTTTCTGCTGAGGCAATTTATTCCTTAATCAAAAGTTTGGTTCTGCCCTGAATGCCTTAAGGATAGTGTACTGAATCACCAGCAATACTCAAAGTGGAGCTACTTCGACTGGTCAATTAGCCCTTTACTGCTTCAAAGATAACTCTCATTCATTGTCACGCAAAATTTTCGATTCAATGTGGATTATGGGTGATTTGATGGCGTATCTCATTCTACTCTTAACCTTATGCTCCTATCTGAAGGATGTAACTTGAGCCTGACTGACTAACGTTTTGCCGGCTTTCTCTTTCATGCCAACTTTTGCCAACATATCATACCTCCTTCTTGTCCGCTATGCAATCATCAAATATTAGCACTCACTGGCCTTCCAGGGTCATTACGAATCTTGTCATCAAATTCGTGTCATTTCTCACATTGATACTCGCGGATGGTACCCTAACTATACACATTTTTGCAATCTTCCTATACAAACAATCATGGAGAAATAAAAGACAGGAGACGATAGCATATAAGACTGAAGATTAAATTGTTGAGTTTTTGAGTGGAGTGGGCTATTTGATGGCGATGAGGGAAGAAGAGGAGGGTAAGTGATCATGAGTGGCAAATTTGTAAACTGTCTCGGTTCATGAACAGGTAGTGCAGAAGGGACGACACCCCAATTGCCATCTGGTTATAAAAATTGGAGCCAGAATGAAGCCTTAGCCTTGATGTCAAATCAATCCAGTGGCATAGATTAGTAATGAGAATGAGACTTCTAAACGGCCACATTGCGCATAGCACAGGTGCCATTCACCAGGGCCAGTACAAGAGGTTACTTCAAGTTAATAGCAACGTAGGCTTTGGTACACAGTTTCATTTTTTACGACCATAGAGGACCAGTGAAGCCGTAATATTTGTGGACTTCTTGGCCGGCACGGTAGTCATGGGATGGCAATGACGCTCTTGTTATGACGGTAAAATTAGCCAGACAAGGCCTAGATTGCATCTTTCTGGTGTGAGTAGAAAGAAAGATTCGGAGGGCCTGAGATGAAGCATGACAATCTTTAGTGGGTCGTAGTTATTGCATGCAGCTAGTAATTTAGGTAACTAGAGCTTTATACGTCTTCTCAAATGTGTGCTCATGTTATTTGCTAATGCTTTATAATCTCACATTTCTCAC